TTTTGGCGTGAAGATATTCATGACTGTGACGCCGGTTATTTCTGGCGCCTGCGATGACAGTGTGTGCAGTCTGAATCCAACATACATCTCTGAGAAATGGTGATATGATCCTGTCTCCAGGCCTCTGCGTCCGCTGCAATCTTCTCCTGTCAGGGGGAATGGTGACAAATAGTAATATCTCACATCACTCGCCGCCATGTCTCCCTTGCACGGTTAGATATCGCGTCTGTCCATACTCACGACGACAGCAGGGAATAATACACGAGGTATCAGATAATCCTATAAAAGAAAATATTTTTCTACATTCTCAAAAAAAGAAATACTCCTATGAGCTTAGCTGCTGCATGCTCATAGCATTTCTTGATAAAATGTCACATTGGCCCTTGTAAAATGTCACACTATTCTGAGACTAATATCACACTATTCAGAAACTAAATGTCACACTCTTCTGAGACTAAATGTCACACTATTCCAAGACTACATGTGGCACTATTCTGAGACTATATGTCACACTACTCCGAGACTAAATGTTGCACTATTCTGAGACTTAATATCACACTATTCCGAGACTAAATGTCACATTCTCTGAGACCAAATGTCACATCTTTCTGAGACTAAATGCCACACTATTCTGAGACTAAATGTCACACTATTCCGAGACTAAATGTCACACAGTTCTGAGACTACATGTCACATTATTCTGAGACTAAATGTCACACTGTTACATAACCAAATGTCAAGAACTTCTGTGAATATTTGTCACAATATCCCTTGAGTATTTGTCACACAGTCGAGTGATCAAAAGCATGAGCATCAATTGGGATACGATGACATTGATAAACTATGTCAGCGACCCTGACCACCCGATCCCGATAGTCGCCTCTTACGACAAGCATGGGTTACTAACACGGATCTTCGTAGGTGTTGGAGGGCAAATACACGATCCGCAGACTAAGGGAATGTTGAGGGTCACTATTGTCCCAAAATGTGAAGCACATTAATTGAGCCGTGGCAGCAGCAATGCTTCTTCATTTGAGCCTCTGCTTCCCGTGAACCAATGAGTAACCAAGCCTCCCAAGTTGTTCTCGGTATCGCTGTCTAGCCATGTGTCTATTAGTTTCATTATTTGCAGCAGAAATAGTTAATTCTGAGATTCACCCCTGTCTTATTGACAGAGCGGAGAGATATACCAGCAAGGTAGGCGTCCTTTAACAACCCTAGTTATAATACTACTCGAGAGTCGCCGAAAGAACTCGAGAGTCGCCGAAAGAACTTATCTTGGTTTTTCTGTGAGACAGGGCAGCTTGGTCGGCGTCCTTTTCAAACCTATTTATAGTACTATGCGAGAGACACCGGAAGTACTTGGTTTCCCTTGGAGATGGGAAGCTTAGTGGCGTCCTCTTTAAATCTATATTTAGAGTACTACCAGCGAGACACCGGAAGCACTTGTCTTGGTTTCCTTGCTTGATAGGGCAGCTTGGTCGGCGTCCTTTACAATCCCATTTCTAGTACTACCCGCGAGACACCGGAAGTACTTGTCGAGGTTTCCCTGGGAACTAGTACGGCCAACGAAAAGCTGCTATCTACATTGTCATAACAATAATTCAATCAATAAAACCACTTTCAATGAACCGGCGTTTGGGAAGAATAACTATCGTGCATTCGTTGAACCCCTCTGGTAGAGCGAACGTATAACATTGTACAAAAAAAAATGCGAGCTGACAGCCCCTGGGGACTCCTCGTCTCTCGGTTCCAGATGATGAAGCTGACAGTGCACGGTTAAATGAGGCCATCCTCCATGCCTTCCTTTCCTTCTGTAGTTTCAGAACAGAACAGAACATGTATTACTTTCAGGCCACCATCCGTGGCATATGTGGCAAGACAACATATCCTTCCTCTTCTCGATGTGCAGATCTAAGCTCATACTGTCGACCACTGGTTTCTTGGGTCCAGACCTAACCACCTATACAGCGCACACAGTGCGTGACCTCCTAGACGACCAAATGAAGGATGCTGGGAGATAACGTACCTATGAAGTGCAGAACAATGCTCGTACTATCAACCACTAGCTGTCTGGGTCCCGACTTAACCACCTATGCAGCACATACGACCAAGTGCCAGATACTACAAGATAACGTGTCTACGAAGTATAGACCTATGCTCATACTATCAACTAATGGTTTGCTGGCTCCAGACTTTAACACCAACATCTCATCGTTACATGACATTAGTCTCAGACGTAAGCACATTTTTTATTTAATCACACAATATTATTCAAAATACTTACATGGTGGTAGGACAATTTGCTATATTTATGTACATACTAACTCAACAATATTGTGCAAAGGGTAGATATTAAGACTTTTTTGCATATCTAGAGGACTTGTAGCTTAGCGTAATTAGGACAGAGTTTACTTTACTTTCTAGGTATTTGTTCTTAATTTTAGATAGAGTACCAAGTTTTGATACGTTTCGATGAACATAAAAGTATGGTGACAACAGTTTGTTTTATATTCATAAAAGTAATCTTAACACAAAAGTGCATGGTATTCATCACTTACACAGTTATCCTGACATAGAATACAGGTTCAATCTGTTCTAGGTATATTATTCCATCTGCCTAGTTCAATCTGTGACGTGATGTCCGAAACTGAATAAGTGGATCGTATATTTCCATGGTTTAAGATGTAATCCGATATCGGATCTCACAGAATAGGTTGCATGAGTTAATGTGACTTAAGCAAGCTGCCTCGTACCTTTGATGTGTAAGTTCAAAGACTAAAACCACGGCGCAACTGCCAAAGGAATGTAGCTACCGTGAATGACCGCTGTATATCAAATGCCTTGACATAATGGTTCCGTCCAGTGCCAGACATCTACATCAACATACATAATTATATGGCTCCCCATCATTGTACTGTGCATGGAACTACACGCTGTACGTTAGGTATCACAACAGTTTATTCATCAGATAATAGGTTTTCTCTGCTGAAATCTCATACATATCTAGTATATCCTGTTTAGTTTTGAACTGAAATCAATGCATGCTTAAAGAACTATGTAAAGTATAGAAACAGGTGTCCTCGATGTCACACATGGAGTTGCCAACAATAAGCTTCTGTCGGAATGCGTAGGTCTAACAGTTTAAGAACAGGGCGTGAAAGGTGAATGTGGCGAAACAAAATATACAAAATATGGGCCTAAAAGCAACCATTACATGAGTCCATACACGTCCAATACATGACAAGCAGCACCCAATGTGGGTATAAAATAATTAATTCCAGTTGTAACTGAGCTGCAATCTTTGACCTATTCTCTCGTATTATCTGCGGCTCCACGACAGTGACGCCGAGTGTACATGTTTAACGACACGACTGACTGACTGAGTTTAGTTTTACTCCGCTTTTAGCAATATTCCAGCAATATCACGGCAGGGGGCACCAGAAATGGGCTTCACACATTGTGCCCATGTGGGGAATCGAACCCGGGTCTTCGGCGTGACGAGCCAACGCTTTAACCACTAGGCTACCCCACCGCCCTTAACGACACGAGCCTTTACAGGATTGACATTGTAAAGACAGAGTGATCATTCTAGCAACCATTGGTTTGTCCGGTCCAGGTACGATTATTAACTATGTTCAAAAGAAGGGGTAATAATAAAATTGTAATAAGCTTAATAATTATCGCAAATGTCCGTGAAGAGTCCTACACAAACCCCAAGACGTCGATGTTACGCACGTTGACTATACATGTTTGGACGTATGCCTTCACGTGAAGGGGAAGAAACGATGGTCAGGTGACTCAGTGAGACAGCTACTGACGCATTCTGACTGTGTCAATCATAGAGTCATGCACATCTATCTAGTCATTGACTGTAACAATCATGGGTTATTTCTATCTGTCAAATCAGTACTGATGACTGCATGCAGAAAAGAACAATTATTATTAGAATCACACAAAGAGGTCTAAATATGCATATATATTTTGAATATGTGAAGAAAACAATGGGACTATTTTGTAAATAAGTAATCAACAGGGCCGTACTTAACTTTATTACTCACCCGTTGAAGATATCACTGTTTAATAGGGGGCAGCGGGGTAGCTTGATTCACATGGGTACAATGTGTGAAGCCCATTTCTGGTGTCCCCATGCTTGATATTGCTGGAATATACAAGCGGATTAAAGCTAAACTAAACTCACTCACTCACTTAATATATACGACCCAATTACTCATTCAGATTTGGTCTGATCATGCGCCAAATGCCTCTAAAACAACTGATCCAGATATTTAATTTAGCCTAACCGTATTACATGCTAGTAATGAAGAGGTAAAATCTAAAATAATCGCGTTTCAACGTAAACTTGTTCGTCATAGTTGAAAATAGCTCCTTCTATACAAACTCCGTAGTACTGAGAAGGAATGCAAATGTTGAAACAACCTCCTTCCGACATGAATCAACCTTCACATCCTAGCAATTCTTCTGGGAGCAATTCAACTTAAAGAAGATCTTGTATTCCGAAGTATTTCGGTTAAAGCAATAAAACTTCTTATAAAAAATTCAGCATGGTCTTTATCAAATTTCCTGATTCAAACCCGAAATCATTTTGGTGGAATGAACCTCAGCCTGATTCAATTCAGCCTTAATTGTGTTTGTTTAGGGCTGGCAAACATATTGTCATCCACGCGACCCATCCCGTCGTTCCATCTTTCCATAATGGATTGTGAGATTCTGTTGTATTTTCCAAGTGGAAATGCCTAATTTTCTGTCGGCATTATAGTTCATTCGTCTTTTAGATCAATACTCTGAACCAGAGCCACACCGTTGTTTCGTCTCCCCATCACATAGAGCAATCTTTAAATATTTACAACGTTCATTGTACCTATTATCAGCATATATCTGTTCAACCGTTTACTCCACTACATAGAACCATAGTTTGTAGAATTGCTAGTCACGTGACAAGCGGTTTCAGCGTAATAATTTATGATCAAGTCTCTCTCAGTCTATCGACCAGCTCCATACGTAACACGCGCGGGCTGAGATGTCGTCTGCTTTGTGACAACGCGTGGTCTGCAGACGACACTCCGCGTGTAAGGATGGATGCCTGTTCGCAGTGTCTTGCGCGTGAATTTCGATCGGAAAATGCTGGACTAGGATACGAAAATCCCCCAGCATTCGTCACATCCCAGGTAAGGCACTACTTTCCTGATCAAGATTCGCTTATTTCTAGATTTGAACCAAATAGTTAGCCTGCATATAATGCTGTGGTGTAAGTGAACGCGACAAGTGTATATCGATAGTCTTTACACACTTGTGAAGCACCGTGCATGCGGTTAATATTGACAGGTGGTGATGCAAACACTAGTTGTCGGAGCCTGTCCGTTCGCTTGCATCATTTACCACGTTTGGATGAAATTAAATATCTACAAGTTACATGGCGACTTGTTTGCATGTATTCTTAGGGAGCAGTTGCAGACGCTCCGTAACACGTTAAATCAAATGTAATGTTTGCGAATCTCCATTGACGTATGGTATCAGTCAAATTTGATATTAGGCAACTTAATTTTGTAGCAGAGATTTGTATTCTCTGAAATGTTACAGCTGAAATAACTCACAATACCAGAACCTTTTAAATATCAAGGGTCATGAAAACCGTTCTTACTCTTGCAACACGCTATCACATATTAACACTATAACAATAATGTCAAGGCAGATGTATTGTCAAATATTGTGAACTGTTTGATGAAATACAGGACTTAAATGGTTCTTTTGAAGTTTACCAAATTCCATCTGGTGTATAAATACCTTCAACAAAAGCCATTGTTTATGTAGGTCACACTGCAAGATAATTGCAGCAAATTGTAGCTGTAGCAATAGCATAATCATTGTGCTCAGTGTTCAGTGAACAATACACACTCCCTGTGGAACTATCAAACCTTGTTAGCATTCCCAAAACGCTTTAAGTTAGCTTGACGTTCTATTTACGCGGACTCCCTCACACATAAACGTACACCTTTGATGTACAAAAAGCCTGTCTTCATGTTCAAAAACGCTATTTGTTCTATAATATATTTATGTAGATGCATAAAGTAAAAGTTCCACATTATATATATGATCAATCTCTTTGAAAAGCAAAATGAATATATTTGAGATACCCAAAGAAAATATATATTAGATGAAAATCTAACTTCTGTAACAGTTTAACATACATTCTAAAGATAATACTCGAACAATTATACTGCAAAACATGTCAGTTACATCAAAATTGTTTGTAAATGTGCTCAGATTGTTACGTATATTATATATTTCATAAACTACCGCCTATCATATCACGAATGAAATTGCATTTGTATTCCCGTTCCTACCAGCCCCCGATTCCCTACCCCTATGGGGAGATATCCCACCCACAGAAAGAAGGACGTCGATGCCCCAAGTTTGTCATGCATGGTGGAAATGTACCACGCTCATATCAGTATCTTTCCAGAGAGTTTATCTGTAAGACTAAGCCCACGGTGGGTATATAGTTGCTTTTTAAGTCTCCATACTCCACATGAATGATTAATGCACATCCTTTGATATATTATTCCCTAATCAGTAACTAATCTTCCAGTGTATCCGTGAGCTACTTATATTACTTCCAAGGTTCCCCTGCATGTACACTTTACACCGGGCACACCAAACAACTACCTCCCCCCCTCTCCCCTCCCACACATATACTGAGTGCCACTAGGGATCCCCTCTTCAATCACGCTACCCACACACACCAAACCTCCTACATACACACTTGGCGTAACTAGAGGTCCCCTCCACAACAACCCCTCCCCTACCACCCCTTCCCACCATCACCACCACCACCACCACCAAACCTCTCACATACACACTTGGTGTAACTGGGGTCCCCTCTACAACCACGTCAATCCCGCACACCAAACCTCCCACATACACACTTGACGTAGCTATAGACCCTCTCCACAACCACACCACACCCGGAAGAGCAGCACAACGGTCCACGACCGACAGCCCCGTGGTACTCCAGTACTCCACACGAGGGTCCCAAACCACATCCCTCGGACACAGCGCCATGTAGACACGACCCTTTATACCAACCACGTCTCTGCAATACCAAGAGGGGGTGTGAGCTCCCCTGCCCTTGCTCCGATGCAGCCATCTGCAGCCAGGCTCAGCACGCTATGAATACCGTGACATTTGTTTTTCACAGAGGAACCACAAGCTTTGCATTAGGACCGGAGACAAACTACATTTAATACATTGTGAAACCCAACGAATCCCTTGAATGAAACTGGTTCACGTATTCTATATAAATATGTGTTAAACACTATTGCAGTGTACACAGACGAGAGTGCCCGAGTCAAAAAAGATTGATTTCATGCAAATGCCAGTAACTGGTGTGTTTGATGTAACAACATGACATAGCTGTTGATGTTGTTGCAGTTCTCCATTGCAAAACGTGCGCATCGCCGCATGTTGTCCTCGTCGTTGCAAGCCGTCGCCATCCGGACCGGCAAAAATCTAACTAGCATATCCATTTGGATGAAATATCGACATGTTTTGCAGTTGGAATTTTCATTTCGTTTGCAAATGAATTATTTATGTTATGTCACTATACATATTTTAAGAGAAATTATCATATTTTATTGATTGAATATCTGTTAAACGATTCTCTAAAATAATGCCGAATAAAGGTCAAACTTGTCATTCCTACTGTTTATCAAAAACGACACGACATTTCAAAATGATGTTTACAGACTTGCATACCTATACACAGCTAGGTATGATCTCATTGGACGGGTGACAAACTCAAAGTCAAGCCAGATCCAACTTGTCGGGTCTGTCTTGAAGCAGACTCTATATGGCAACAGGTTGTATCGTCACAACATTTCAGGGTTGTATCGAATGCAAAGTCCTTATAAACCGGCGTGACCGGGGGATGTCAGTACAATATTGACCGCCAGGGAATCCACACACTCATCTTTAGTCACTTCAGTGACTCCTCCACGGTGCTCTGGATGCATGCCCCTCGACAGACGCTCCCTCAACGATCCTCCGTTAGTCACACTGTACCCCCCACCAACCCCCTGTCTCCCACTACTCCATCTGCCTGGCAGGCACCAGACGGACCAATCAGTACTGTCAATTAACACGGACCTGTTGGTATCGGTGGTCTTGTTAACCGTGACATTGTCGAGACGGTACCTGACATTGGGTTAAGGCGGCCGCAGAAGAAGAGACTCACCCGCCATACTATACGTAGAGCATCTAGGATAAAGTCGATTTTGCTCTACAGTATGTTTCATCATGGCGATTCAATTGTCGAACTTAGAGACTAGCAAGGTTTCGTGTGTCTCTGTGGCTCGCAGACTAAACATACATTGCGTTTCAAAAGAAATGATTACACAGATACCTAGGGAGTGTTTGTTTGTGCAAGGGCGAGACCTATGATTGTAGATGTTAAGGGGTGAGAAAGGGTGTTGGTGGCGATGGACTGGGTGTTGGTGGGTATGTTATGTGTTGGATGCATGTTGTATGGGGTGACAGCTGAAGGTGGGGTTCCGGTGTGGTGTGGTGTGGTGTGGTGTGGTGTGGTGTGGTGTAGAGTGGTGTGGTGTGGGTGTGTGTGAGTGGTGGTGGTAGTGGTGGTGTGGTGTGTGATGTGTGGGTGATGTGTGTGTGTAGGTGTGTGGTGGTGTGGTGTGAACGTGTGTGTGTGTGTGTGTGTGTGAGAGAGAACAGGTGTTGGGTAGGTCTGTGGTTTGCTCAGAGAGAGAGAGAGAGAGAGAGAGAGAGAGAGAGAGAGAGAGAGAGAGAGAGAGAGAGAGAGAGAGAGAGAGAGGTGAATTGGTATTGTGTAAGTCTGTGGTTTGCTCCGTGGTCTTGGGGTGTTTATCGAGTTGATATTTGACGTGTGAGATGTATGAAGTGAGATGAATGAAGTTGTGGGACAGAAGAAATGTACGCAGTGACTGTTAGGTTGCTTCTTGGGTAGATTCCACCCATTGATGATGTTACAGGTAGGGTTTCTCTGTAATGGACCCGTCAAGGGAAGCCGTAAGGATGAGGCAATAACAGTAAATACCAGTATGGTTTATGATTACACTTAACGGTAATGCGTCTCCCGTCGCCTGAGGGGAAGGATATAGTCATCATACTTCTCAAGATAACATTAGGTTAAATAAAGATTTATCTACTGTCTTTTATTGCTGAATCTGCAAAACTTTCCGAGTTTGATGTAAAGGAATTGTACAACCGATATATTATCAAAATATTCCCGTTCTGAGAATTGCTGGTGTTGGACATTATGGCCACACTGGTCCGGCTGGATCCAGATAGTAATGATAACGCACTTGTGTTGGTGGCAATGGTCGAATTAACTGCTCCCTAAACATAAATTCCTACTTAATCATCAAGTACGGAGCTACAGTTGATAGCACCACGTGGCTGAATACCACACTATCACATCTTGTCGATAAATACCTATAACAAATACCATATGAGGACTGTATAGTAGAATTGATACATAACATTTTCGATAGTGTTTCATCGAACTATAATGTGATAACCACATAACCCAATTCTAGGTGTATCACTTACTATTCAATCATTGTGAAAAGGCCGAATGTAACACCTGTTTGTTAATTGAAAGAATTTATGAAGGCCCAGACGAGGGCGAAGGTGGAATTACAAGGTGGGAGTCCAATGGAGGTCAATAGATGTGACCGATTAACCCTCACAATGTCTCAGTTGGTCGTGGCTTGAGTCACTAGTTTACAGGGACCAAATTCGATGATTTATAGATGGAGCATTATTTGTTTGCGGTGTAAAACAGCATTCACACATTAAATACATTATACTTGTTTTTCTGCGGTGAGTTTGTGTGTAGAGAGGCCTCTGTTGAGATTCCCATTCCTTACTCTGCTGCAAGCTGTGAGGTGAGGTGAGGTGAAAATGGGTTTAACGTCGTGCTTGAGAATATTTCGCTTATATGACGACGTGCATGCGTGTGTATGTCTATGTGCGGCTGCTTGTACTAGCCCAGACTGAAGTTGGTTTTGTAGTGCTAGCCCACTGCGATACCATGCCGCAGTGAAGCATGAATACCCCATAATAATAATCTCCTTATTTGCACGCCAGGCAGGGACCAACAAGTACCATATTTTAACGTCTATTGGTA